ACGTTTGAAACTTTTCAATAAAAGTTAAGATTAACTCATAATCTTGTGCCTTTAGACAGTAATGGAGCTTCAAGAAAAATGGCAAATATCATCAGACTCTTGTTAAAATTGAAGCACTGGCCATACTGAGAAGCTTTCACCTCCCCACCACTGCATGGGGATCTGGTTAATGCCAGAGCCAAGGCAGTAGATGCTCTGAAGCAGCCGAGGGTGTAAATTAATACGCAGCATCTAAAATATAGCTTATATTGCAAAGATATTTTCCTGAATTTGGTTTTAATGAGGACATGAATTGTTTCACTCCAGTTGACAGTTTGCCAGGTGCTGTCCCAACAGAGAAGTGACCACTGGCCATGCTGGCCTTGTGCTCTGCAGCAAGAGAATTACTGAGCTAAGAAAGCACTTTCCCATTGACACCTCAAGCCCAGTGCAACTGTTCCACAAAATATAAACTGAGTATCTTCCTTTAGTTAAGTCTGACCATGTGTGTATTTGCATGAAGACATACATATACCTGTTAATACCCACTTCATGCTTACAATTCCTTACATCAAATAAAAAACAGGAATTCAAGCCTTTTTGGGGACAAATTGAATCCCTTAAAATCTCTGAAGCTACAGGGAAACAGGACACGTAAAGAAGTTCAATCAGCTATTTATATACTTAGCTGGTCAAACATCATCTCCAGTTTTGCTTAACAATAAGACTTTTGACATATTAAATCAGAAAAATATAGCTACATAGCATAGCCTGTAGCAGCACCTGAGATGCCTAGAGCACCACAGCTCAGCTCCACAGAATCTTGCAAGTTTTTAAACGTCTCCTTCCTTTTCCACTCTCCGGTGAGACAGTAAACTCCTTAGGTGGTCTTCTCCACGTCATGGAGAACAACAGGGTCCCAAATGTGCACCAAAGCAACACGCACATGTACATAGAAAACACCACATTATAACCATTAACTAGATGCAAATTGGGTGTTTAAGATCCATTTTACAGAGATTTAAACCCACCAGTGCTGTAAGATAACTAGGATGGGCACCTGTACCTGGACAGAGTGCTGGAAGGCAGAGTACTTTTCTACAAAACATAACTAAATGGAGATATATTTGAGGATTTATGAAAAAAAAACAACCCACCAACAAACCCAAAACCAAACCCATGAAAAATCATCATTAGAAATGGGCAGTACTCCTTGACAATAAACTCACAAGTCTAATAAATTCAATGGATAAACAATAACCACAAAAAAAAATCAAATACAGCACCTGATCCCATTCACACTTACACCAAAAGCCAAGCTCTCTACTTAAGGGAAGTAGAAGTCCCTGTAATCAGGAAGGTCCATAGTAAATCTACCCATTTTCCTTCAACCTGATCCCTCAACCCTACACAACCCTGCAAATCCTCATTTCCTGAAAAGCTAACAGTGCTTGGATCTCTCAGGCAGGTCATTGTGGAGAAAAAGACGCAGGTAAATATCCAGGTATCTATAGCAGCTATAAAATGCTGCCCTTGTTCATAACTATTTTTTTTAAACCAGTATCTATTCTGTGAGTACAGATGCTATTCATTAGCAAATAAAGACAGAAGCAATCCAACACACTGATTCAGAAGTCATCATCCCACATTTTTTCTGTAATGACTTTCCCTGATTTAACAGCCCTGACTAATGCTGGTGCCATCTGAACCTAACGGGTCATTTCACAGAATCATAGTGAGCATCCTACTGCCCGCCTGCTGGAATTAAAAGCAAGCAAAAGACAATCCATCAATGAACTACAGCTGCAAGCGATTTCCCAGCACAACTGGATAGCACACATTACATGCAAAGCACCCTGGTGCAAGAATCCCTTCCCACTTCCCAGGACAGCTCCCACCAGAACATGGCATGCAAGGGATGGGGCATGCAAGGCAGCAGATAGGTTCCGTAACCTACAAGACATGCGGCACAGAATGATGCAGTCACAGTGGCAGAGGCAGAAGCAGTGCCAAATCCATTCCCTGCTGACCATAGTATGGCAGCAGCCACCTCAGCACACTCCTCCCTGCACCTTCTTCATGCCCAGCACTTACCAACCACCCCGCTACAGACCAGGTTTCATCAGGTGTAATCTATCCACTGCTGCAGCAGCAAAGTGGGCCCAGCCACTTAAATATTTAATTGGATCCTCTGCCTCACCTATCACAATGCTTCAGGGTGTCTGAAGCCAAACTTCATTGTCTGGACTTTCACATAATACCGGGCAAGTCATAAAGAAATTACATTTTCTGCCTCCTGCTCCAATCAGACCACCATATGTTCGCCTACATGCAAATAATGACAATAAATGCAAAGTGTGAGTACGCAGAAAGTTAGCTTGACTGCAAATGAACATGCAGGATAAGTTCAGTGGCGGTGTAGTTGCTGAAGTCAACAGGTTTACAACAGCGATGAATGTTGAGCACTAGTCTGAAAATTTAAGTGTGAACAAGCTGGATTTAGAAATGTATGTGTGGCTTAAAATCCTGTCTATTGGCTTCCAGTTATTTTAAGCATTCCTGATCTCCTGTGATCCCAACACTTCTGTCCCTTTCTGGTTTGCCTGCTAATCACTTTCCTCTTCTCTGTGTAAGTACAGCAGGTCTCAGAGGCAATCAGGTTGAAGTTAATGGACCGTTTGTATGAGGAGGCTGGCTAAACAGTATTTAGATTGTCACCTTTGCCTTATCGCCAGTCCTTTGACCCATTTATTTCCCTTCTCCTTGCCTTTGCATTATTCTATCTACAGTGGACTTTACACAGCCCAAGCTTGTACTCCCCAGGCAATGTCATAGCTAGTTTAAGGGGATGTATCTCAGTAGCCCTCAGTGACACTACTCTGATTTAGATCAATTAATGTTTCGACTCACTGAACTCATAAGGTAGCTCTTTTATCTAACATGTAATTTCTAGAATATACTGAATAAAAACTATAAGGCTCTTCCTATGGGTACGGCAGGTGAAACCCCAGGTGGAGACAGGTTCATAACTACCTTGCAACGTATCAGAACCATTCCTATCCTCAAACGATACATATTCAGCATAACTGAGTAGTTGTTCTCTCCCTGCACCTTGCCTCCTACAACATAGATATTCTAATAGCAAAGCTGCTTATCATATGTTTTCTAATGCTTGTTGCTATGAATTATTTATGTCCCATTGTAAGTCTACAATATTGATACCTCTTAGGTATGCTCCACTATCAGATGCAGCAAAACAAATATTAACTATTTGAGGCAGCAAAACCTCTGTTAATAGCAAACTATCCTTTCCACTATGGCACACAGATGGTCTAAATTCTGCCTGCATATGCTCATTGTTTTCTGCTTGCTGGCTTATAAAGCTATTAGAGGCACATAAGCAAACAGGAATATTACATCCAAACCTGAGTGTAAATTCAGGCTCACATAGCCATAAATGCCAATGGTCTTACATAATTACTTTCTGAAGCTTTTAAAAAAATCCAGAAATACATTTAAATATACAAAATTGACATATAAATGATAAAACTGTAGACTATGTTTTATCATTAGGACTCTTCTAGAGAAAAAAGTATGATCAAACCATTGCATTCTCAGTTTTGAAGACACTCCAAATCCTTTATGTTCTGTGCTTTCCTCCCATATCTCACAATGAAGAGAAGCATCTAGCTGGTGTATATAAATACCAGTTCTCATCTCTGAAGCACTGACTTACTCTGTGCAACCTCTAGAACCACCTGCTCTTTCAAAAGAAAATAGTACTACACAATTCAGACAATTAGAAAAAATATACCAAAAAAATGAGTGAATCTGTAAACAAACTTCATTCTGTCATAAGAATTCATCTAACTCAGTTACTTAATTGGCCAAAACTGATACCCCGCGTTTTCTTTATTATTGTCTTACACACTAAGATTGTGGTGTCTAAGGAGTTAAATATGCTCATGACTAATAGAAAGCTGAAAAAATATCCTTCAAGGCCAAACAGCATCTCAGACTGATCTAATAGAGATTAACAAATTCCTAAAGATCCTTGTGCAGATTTACCACTGGCACAGTAAACACACTGCCAACAGTCTGCCATGCAACAGGAAAATGAGTAAATGAGTATGCTTACTTCTCCCTCTACTTAACCCTAAAATTAACATAATATTTTTAAATAGCCCATTTAAACAGAAAGTGGGGCAGCAGAGCCAGTGCCACAAGATGACTGAATGGCACGGCATGGCTTTAGATGATCTGCAAGGAAAGCACATATAGACAGAAAACAGGTTCCCCCAGGGACTCCACCATCACTTCTGACTCTAAAATGAAGACTGGGATCCACAATCACATCAGTCATAAGGTGACCTCCCAGAAGTGGGAAACAGCAGTGTGGACCACAGGAAAAATAACTAAAGAACCTGAGAAAGCAGCTGTCCTGGAAGTATGACCACCTCTGCTTTCTACTTTGGACAAAGTTATGACTTGCTGGATGCTCTCAGTGTTGGTCTAAGTATGGGAAAAAGTAATTCATGTGTGGCTGAAAACACTGGGACCAAATGTTTTTATAACACCTGTACTGGGATTCCTAAGGTGTGGCACATGTGCCACCAGCTGCATGGAAGTCACTTCTAAGTGATAATCTGCCATGCAGCGTTTGGTACTGGGCATGAAACACTTAAAAACCTACTTTCTTACTATCATAATTTGACTCCTGCCTTCCCAAAGGTTTCAGCCAGCTTGCTTGTGACAGGACAGATGATCTCCGAATGAGCAACACTTGCAAAGATTTTACGTAACAACTCAATTGACCATCTAGTACTCCAGTATAAAAACCAATCTTGACCCTATTTTGAGCACGAGCCAATACCAGCTGACTAGAAGGCAAACACTTCCTCACCTAACTGCTCCTGTAATCCTTGCAAGAGGATATCAATTGTGCAAATTGCATTCTGACAAATATAAATCACTACTGAGTCTGTAACAAAGGCTGACAAATCTTGATGCCCAGCACTTACCTGGTGCAGCAGTCCTCTGAAAGGAGATGTGCTAGAAAAACGCTTCTTTTTTCCAAACAGAAGTTGGAAAAGTGTGATTCCACAATCTGCAGCAGTAAAAATAAAGAACAACTCTGATCCTGCAAGTGGTAGCAGGCAGGCAGGTGGCTCTCCTACATGAAGCCTTTTACAGGAAGACTGTAATTATCTGTTTGAGCACCTACTGATTGTATCTGGAGACTGTGCACATAGAAGCCAATAGACAGCTGATAAAACTTGTGTCATTTACTTTCTGTACATTTTGCCCTTAATTGAAAAAGTTGCTTTCCTTTTTTAGTCCAAATATCTATTATCCATGCTTGGGGAGGCACTGAACAGCACATAGACAGCTAAGAACTCAGAGGCCGTGACAAAAACTGAAGTAACACTAGGAAGTGAACTGAGTGCTTGGTTTAAGGGTTTTAGTAGTGTCTTTATCCACTGACACTCTGAGGTTTGTACCCTAGAGAGCTCTAAAAAACACTCAAGAACACTGAACTTTTAAGTTCCTCAGCTGGGCAAATATACTAAAAACACCATCATCATGCCATTGCCCAGATCATTGTAGTCCTGAAGATCAAACCAGTTTATTTTATTGAGACTCAATGTCAAATATTTTGTTCTATCTGTAGAAGCCAATTACACTGAATCAGGTTAAACCTGTCTTTCTCTGCTCTTCACATCCATTTCCATTGTCACTTCCAAAGGACTCCTGGGTGCCATGCCAAAAAGAACTCAAGTGTTCCCCATCACATCGTCTACAGACACCACATTCACACACCCCAGCAATATGGTTGCAGTAAGACTGTATGGAGCAGATTTAAGACTTTGGAGAAAGCACCCCACTCATCTTCACACTTCATCTCTCCGGAGCTGCTCCCTGCACAAAGACCTTGGCTGAGCCCATACTGATGGATCCTCTCCTGAATTTCACTATCTGCAATACTGGCACAAGGGAGTGAGACAGACCTAGGAATTCAGCATGTAACCTTCGTTTCTTATATGGACAGTCCAAATTCAGGTGCCTGAACTAAGACTCACCCACCAGAGTGAGAAGACCCACCTGGCACAGCATCTATTTCAAAACTAGAGCATAATATATATTTCCAGTTACAAGCAATTTTCAATAGGATGCAAGACTGGAAGTTTCTGCAAGAAACAGAGAGCAAGAAGCATTCCAGGCAGGTGCAAGTCTCACAGACTGTGCCCAGAAACCCCCCCATAAACTCAAGTAAAGATTACAGCCACCAGAAATTTATCTGCATTGGAGCATCTTGTACTGATGGCATTCTCTAACAATATGCTCTGATTAAATCAGTGTTTGTGGTACTAAATGGAACTATTTAAAAAAGATATGCTTGCACTTTACATATATTCTTTTTGCAGGGTACTGCTAGGGGCAAAATAGCTGCAGAGGGCAGATGAAGGCTGGTAAGTCATTTCTGATGACAGTTGCCCCACTTGCAAGTTATTTAAGCTGCTGCCTGTCAGTAGCCCATAGCATGGTAACAATTAAATGGTTACTAGTAACATATCTGTATTACAACATATTGCTTTCTAAATTGTCTTCGGCAAAAAATTTTCATGAATTTAACTGATGGGGACTTTTGAAGTCTGTGCTACACTGCTATTAAGATCATTTGGTGTAAAGGAAATGCATGGTTTTGATACTTCTCAGAGGGCCTAACTTTAATTAATTTAAACCTGCAAATTGATTATGATTCACTTGTAAATGTTCAGAAAGTGCATTCTGTTCCCTGAGAATAAGAACAGCCATTTTGCAGGAGACTATGATGTATATTTCATATAATGCAGAAAGCTTGACACCCCAAAAAAAGCCCCAAACTCCTGTAAAGAGCACAATTAAAAATGCTTCAGCTTTGAAAACTTCTGGTTGTGTCACGAGCCTCCTAAAACCTCCTCAGCTATCAGTGCCAATCTGAAAGAGGGATGAATCCTCCCTGGAAGTGTGTGTCTCTGCTGATTACAGGAGGAGCCTGGGTGAGACTCCACACCAGACTTTCAGTTGTGTAAATATAGCTGGGATGAGTCTAATCCTAAGAGACTAAGCCACAGACTCTACCAAAATACCCATAGATTCAGGGAGGGTTTAGCAAACAGAATGCCACTCTGTATTTTGGCTCACCATCTTGTGTACCACTCGTGACTCACTGCTGGGTGTGCCAGAGTAAGCCTTGTGGGGGGGCACGGCATGCAAACTCTCCTCTTAGTGAGTAATAAACACCTGTTTGGCTCTGTCTTACCATCCACACAATGGGACCATTCCTCCTAAATGAAGCAGGCTTCCCTCCTCCCTGTTCATCCCCCTCAAATGAGTGGTTTATTAATCATTGAGCTTGGGTGACCAACTTTCTGTCCTATTATCTGGCTTTCCTTATTGAAAGAAGGCTGATGAGGTTTATGGTTGTGAGACAACTCTGACACAGGGTACATATCTTCCCTGGCAGCACAGGGAAAAAGGACTTGCCAGAATGAGAATTAAAAATAGCTTGTTTGCCTTAAAGGGCGTATTCACTTTGAAACACAGGAAACAAGTCTTAGCTGCCACCTCTAATATGACAAGCATCTTTAGCAGCCTACTCTCTGTCAAAATACCTATTGCCCTGCTCTTTTGTCTTCTCCCTAAATTTTTACCATTTCTAATTGTAGGTGTTTTTTACTATGTTATGAGAAGCTTGGGGGAAGAGAGGGCAGAGACTGCCTTCTAATTAAAACCAACCTTGATCACACCAAAAAGGCTGTTCAAGGTTATTTCTTGAAATCTAACATAGCCCTGCCTTTCTTCCCACATTTCTTACAGCAGTGCTGTTTCAGATCCCCAGCATACCCCTGTAGCCCCTCTCTGTGCTGATCCCCCGCTTGGAGGGCATGTTGGCGACATCCCGCCCAGTGCTGAGATGACTGGACAGTCCGGTTTGGAAACCGCGTATCAGCATCAGCGAGGCAGGTGCCTGAGCTCAGTGCTCTCAGAGGTAAGGCGTATCTTTTCAGATATGGTATTTTATCAGTGATGATAATGAGCCAGTTGGGAAAACTTACCTGGGGAAGTGATAGATTCTCTATCACATGCAGTTATTAAATCGAGACCGTGGCTTTCTAAAGTATGCCTTTCTAGCACAAACAGAACATTAGCTTCCTGGTAAAGAATTTATGTTCAGAACACTGTAGGTCTAAACACAGAGGTTACAGTAGATGTCTTTATTGATCTCTTCTGACTCAAAAATCTAGGAATCTAGCGTCATCTGTTATCACTTCCTTTACACCAAAGATCTCCTTGACTCTTGTGGGAATCCATTAAAACTAAAAAGCCTGCCAAGCTGAGAAAATTACAACAGTATTTCCAGCTGCTTTCCCCAGAATTTTACAGTAATCCTTCCCCTGGCTCCAAGCAAGACTTGCCACTTTTCTTATGAGCAGCTTGAGCAAGAAGCATGGTTAGGTTGTTCCTCTACTGCTCCTTATGGGCAATCCCCTCTTAGGTGTTGCCAAGCCACTGAAGGAATTCAGAAGTTCCCCTTGCCTTTCTTGACATGGATGTAAGAATTTCTTTGCAAGTCTAGAAGCTGGCACCACAATTCATACTGAAGAAGCAGCTGACACGACCAAGCAGAGCCTACCAGGCCTGCAAGCAGCTTGCAGATTTAAGTGGTAGCCTAAATAAGAACCACTCTTGAATGTCATTCATAACAAAGCCAAAAAAACTAGCAACATCCTGCACTTTTCTCACATGCAGAAGTGCCAAGCAGGAGGCAGCTCTTGTTATCTGGCTGCCAAGGACAGGACCTGGTTGAGTACTCCCTCCCCACCCCCAGCACAGACCCACCTGAGCAACTGAGAAACATGAGCGATTCTGCATCATGCTGATGAAATTTTTAATCTACATGTCACCCAAGCTGAACCACAAAACACGGCTGCCTGCCCTAGTTATCAAATGACCTGAAATTCAGCACGATCATCTGCCGTAACAGCTGGTTCACTGACACTGAGAGAAACTCCTGCCTCGCTGCTGAACCAGAGGCAGGGCCAGGAGACCAGGGACCTGGAATGCACACCCTCCAACACCGAGATGCTGCTCCCATCCCCCTGCATGGCACAGCCTCAAAATGTCTTGTGTTCTTCAAATTCTGCATGCTGACTTCTTCCTCTACATATTTATTTCTCATCTGCATCATTAAAAAGAGATTTCAGAGACCTGCCAAAGTGATTTCAGAGTGATTTCAGTGCCGAAGAGATTTCAGAGACACTCCAAAGTGGGGGAAAATAATGAAACATCCTTCCCTAGGAATTAAAGTGAAGGTGAGGTTGGATCTTATCAGTTTTCTTTCTTTCTGCCTAGGGTGCTACATAAAAAATACACAGCACTAACAATTTTATTTCTTCTAAGTGTAGCAACTTACAGAGCAACACAGCAGAAAACATTAAAATGATTGTCAAGAGATAAGTATCCAAAACAGGCAAAGTTACAGAGCTAAATAACTTTGACAGATGGTATGAATGCTTTTTTAAGAATGACTCATGCTCAAACACAGTGATACTTTCTGAAGTTGCTTTGATGCGTACACCAAGTTACATTTTTCTATTCAATTAACAAAAAAAAATCTAATCACTTATTAGTCTATTTTTACAGTTTTATTACTGTGAAAGGTATTATTAGTGAAATGTATTACTCCTTAATAGTATAATGTGCAGAATTAGATGTCTTTTGCACTTCTTCCCCAAACAGGAATGAAGAGTGAAAGTTACAAATAATAGCAGCCTTCTGGGGCCTACAAGGGTGCCAGAGAGGGACTCTTCATCAGGGACTGTAGTGATAAGACAAGGCATAATGGATTTAAACAGAGTAAGTTCAGGTTAGATATAAGGAAGAAGTTCTTTACTGAGAGGGTGGTGAGGCACTAGAATAGGTTGCCCAAAGAAGTTGTGAATTCTTCATCCGTGGCAGTGTTCAAGGCCAGGCTGGACAGAGCCTTGGGCTACATGGTTTAGTGTGAGGTGTCCCTGCCCATGGCAGGGGGGTTTATACTAGATGATCTTAAGGTCCTTTCCAACCCAAACCATTCTATGATTCTATGACAATATGTTATTGAAAACCAGCCCCTCACCTGGAACTCAGTGGTACTCCTTTGAATCCAATGAACATGATTTCCTGCTAAATTGAGCCTAGATGATGATGATTTCTGTGCTGATGTATTCTCTTGGGTAAACAGCATTTTCCTATTCCCTAGCTGAAATGAGAAATGAGGACTGCACATGTTCTGAATGTACTAAGTCCTTGAAAGTCCAGTAGTTTCACATTGCTAAAGTTGTGCTTAAGCAGCATCTGCCCTTTGATTTTCACACACATAGCTGGTTGTAGCTATTGCTACAGCCCATATGTGCATAAGCAAG